GTTTGGGAGATTGGTGTTTGGGGGGGTGTTTCCCGGCGGGTTCACTCCCTGATCTCTCTCTGTCTCTGTGTGTTTCAGGGTCTCACAGTCTCCGGTATTTTCACACCTGGATCACCCCCCTCCCGGGAATACCGGAGTTTATGGTGGTCGGTTATGTGGATGAGAAACTGTTTGATTACTATGACAGTGAGATCCGGAGGGACATCCCCCGGCAGCGCTGGGCAGAGGAGAATCTGGGAGCGGATTATTGGGAGCGGCAGACACAGACCGCCCGGGGCTGGGAGCCGTGGGGAAAGACCAACATCCAGACCGCCCTGGAGAGGACCAACCAGACCGGGGGTAAGTGAGAGGGGGATCCGCGGGGATCGGGCCCGGGGGGGCTGTGATTGGCCGCCCCCTGTGCGATCCCTGCCTGTGATTGGCCGCCCCCTGTGCGATCCCTCCCTGTGATTGGCCGCCCCCTGTGCGATCCCTCCCTGTGATTGGCTCTCTCTCTCTGTGACCCACAGGGATCCACACCATCCAGATGATGTACGGCTGTGAGCTCCGGGATGACGGCAGCACCGGGGGGTTTAACCAGCACGGCTGGGATAACAGCGACTTCATCAGCTTCGACAAGAAGGACATGGTGTGGGTGACCCCCCTCAGCTGGGGGGAGATCACCAAAAACAAGTGGGACCGGGATCCGGCACTCAACCAGCAGCTAAAGGGTTACCTGGAGGGAACCTGTATCGAGTGGCTGAAAAAATACCTTAAATATGGAGAGAGAGAACTGAGACCAGGTGAGTGCGACACACAGTAACTCACTGAGAGACACAGATACACTGCATTAAACAGAGACAGACAGGCCAAGGGGGGACAGGGAAACACCATACACAAGGCAATCAGACAGTCAGACAGGCAGAAACACTGAGAGGCAGGCAGGCAGAAACACTGAGAGGCAGGCAGACAGACAGACAGACAGACAGAAACACTGAGAGGCAGGCAGACAGACAGACAGAAACACTGAGAGGCAGGCAGGCAGACAGGCAGACAGGCAGACAGAAACTCAGATAGGCAGGCAGACAGAAACACTGAGAGGCAGACAGGCAGGCAGAAACACTGAGAGGCAGGCAGGCAGGCAGGCAGACAGACAGAAACACTGAGAGGC